TAAATTATCGGGTCTGTGATGTGTGAGTTATCGGGGTGTTTGTATGTAAGTTATCAGGTTCGCGGTGCGTTAGTGACCACGTTATTCACACAACATTATTGCGGGATGTTTCAACAAAAAAATGAGGTCAAAAGAATCACGTTAGTGGGGAAATCATTGACCGGACCACTATTTTTTAATGTTCAAATTCGTATTAACCAAGAACAAGTATCATGTAAACTTGTTTCAAAAACAGCAAATCCGAAGCCGGGCTAGTGGTTTGTGTCGTAGAAATTACTACTTGAGGAACAGGGTTCGATTCTTATCCAGCATAGAAAGCTATCAATTTTTTTTGAAACGCGGGCAAGGATGCGATCGGTAAATGGTCCTCTTATTTTAGGAACATGGGCCGATGGGATGTGATGATGTGAGGAAAAAAAGTAGTGGGAACGGGCCATCATTGGGGAAAAAAGGAAGAGGGAACGGGCCAGCATCGGGATATATGTGGGTTGTGCGGGCTATCCGGACGGGGTGCTTGGGGTCGTGCGATCCACAACGAGCAACGATCAGGTCGTACGGATCTATCACTAACTTCCAGTCGAGCTTTAGGAATTGGCGCAAGTACTACACCACGCAAAAATTCTTCAAAAAAAAAATCATGTCCCTCGTCACAATTCTTGATTCTGGAGTTTGACTCTAGCTCCCAGCAAAAAAATTCTGGAATTAGCACAACTTTTATTTTGATGCTATGAGGTATAAAATGTTAAGTTCTTATGTTTTCCAATTCATACAACTAAGATGCTGTAGCTTGTTGGTCGAAGGTTGCAAATTTAGCCTGTGCGTCCTGGGTTCGATTCCCATCCGGCGCATTATTTTTCTTCCTCGAAAAAAAAGCTAGCGACCTATCCAGTGCGGGAGGTCGATGCGGATCGTGCGTGCCTGTCGCTAATGACCAGTCGGCAGGTATTTAGCTTTGTCGTTTCAGAAAAGCAAACTTAAGTCATATCAAGAGATCACTGCTACCGTAAATCTGCAATGTACTGTAGATATATACTGTTAGGATGGTGAATTTAAAGGCACTGTAGCAAAATCAGGTGTTATCATTCGATCTCACGTTGATCAGAACTTAATAGTAAATAAAATAGGGATAGCCCGTTACTACTAGCTAGGTCTCACTTTCATTTATAAAATCTGGCTAATTTGGAAATTTGCAGGATTTAACGTCGAAACTGTTGAATACAAGAACATCAGCTTCACTGTTTGGGATGTGGGGGGCCAAGACAAGGTAAGGAAGTCTAGTCATGATTTGCTAATTGTGTCAGACTAATAAGTCATGTCATCCCTTTGTGAATCTGTTCCTTTCCCTTGGGTGGAAGAAAATCAGATCTGTTTTTACACTGATGTTGTTAAGCTTATGTTGTCACAAAATTTAGCCTGGTGCCTTTGACTTACTATTTTATTGTTTTCTGATTGAAACAGATCAGGCCCCTGTGGAGGCACTACTTCCAGAATACGCAGGGCCTCATTTTTGTTGTCGACAGCAATGATAGGGAACGTGTTGTTGAGGCTAGGGATGAGCTCCACAGGATGCTGAATGAGGTACTGCACTAGTGACTAGTGTTGTTGTAGTTGTTCTGAAGTTTCCCAATTTGCAAATATTCTGTCTGACTTTCCATATATGGTAATGTGAATTTTTGTTCAGTAATAAGCAATAAATACATGAAGATAGCTGAACTGTCAAGTCAATATTCGTTTTCTTATATATGCTTAGTCTGCTTTATTGAGAATTCACTAATTGAAATTTTAGCTCCTCTTTCCATTCAATATTGAAATTCATAATTAATGTATTATCTTTCTGTGATATAGGATGAGCTGCGTGATGCTGTGTTGCTTGTATTTGCAAACAAACAAGATCTTCCTAATGCCATGAATGCTGCTGAAATCACCGACAAGCTTGGTCTGCACTCCCTGCGCCAGCGGCACTGGTAAGGAACTCCACGCACATAGTTCAGAAGCTATTTACCTTCTAATAGCGCGGTCAAAATTTCCCTGGTGTTATGCTGTTTCTCAGATTCTATGTGCTGCAGATATTTGTAATTGAGAACTTTAATTTGTAATAAGAGTTATTTGAAAGTACAGTAGTGTATCCCCAGAACAAATCTGGTAGAACATAAGTACTTATTTCTGTTAAACCACATAGGGTGTCACTCCGAAAATAGACCATCGCCCCGCTTTATAGATAAAGCCACATGTTTGAACGATATAGTTCATATGGTGTACCTGGGGATCATGAATGTGTCTTGGGCTGAGTTTAATTCCATTTTGGTGCTACACTACTTATCCTGTCTAAAATAATTGTTGGTGTCACTGTTTGCCCTTTTGGATCCGTAAGGTGCAGTGCTGGTGCTAAAATAAATTATTTCCTGTGGTGCAGGTACATTCAGAGCACTTGTGCAACGTCTGGCGAAGGGTTGTACGAGGGACTTGACTGGCTCTCCAACAACATTGCCAACAAGGTATATTAGGCTGGTCATAGTGGGAGTAACATAGGTAGTAACTTAGATGCCACATAAGCAAAAATGATGAGGTGGCAAGTAGTTAATGAGGAGAGAGGCAAATAGAGTAACATAATATGTTACCATCACATAGCGCTTTCCAATGCAAAATGAGTCTACAAAGTAATAAATGAAGACATCTATGTTACCACATACTCCCTCCGTCCGAAAATACTTGTCATCAAAATGGATAAAAGGAGACGTATCTAGAACTAAAATATGTCTAGATGCATCCTCTTTTATCGATACTACCCACTATGAAGGTAGTAACATAGACTAGTAACATATGCATGTTACTAGTCCAAAGTTACTCTCCACTATGACCAGCCTTAGCCTCAACTGATTGTTTTTCATTGAATATCTTCTCTGTGTTATGCTTCTAAAGACTGCTGCACTTGCTTAAATGATATTTCCCTTAGCAGCTGTCACACTTCTGCTGCTATTTATTATAGCTACTAAAGGCAGTTTGGAGCATCTGTGCTTAGATTAGTCACACAATGGCACAATGAAGTTGAACAGTCTGACACAATCACTCCTATGTTCTATGCTATACCTTACTTAATAAGCATCTGTGCTTAGATTAGGCACACAATGAAAGTTGAACAGTCTCACACAAGCACTCCTCTCTGTTCTGTGCCACAGTACTTAAACAAGTAGCATAGCATAGCACACCAACACTTGCGCCTTATGCTTTGATCCCCCATGACTGACGGCACATCCTCTTCATTTGTTTGTGCAGGCTTGAAGCGTCTCGACAAGTGCTTCATCAAGAAACAAACGTGCTGGATGTCTCAACAACTCACTGCTACCATTTTACATATTGTGATATATATACACTGCACAAGAGATAGTATGTGTGCGTATGTGACAGGCAGAAGCTCCCTTCTTTAAGTGAGCTAGTATCAGGTCAGGTTGTCTTTTTTTGTATGGATATTATCAGCTGCTGTTCGGTGGTTTTACAAGGTTTAATGTGTCGACAATGTGTGTCTGAACCCCTATCTTTTTGAGTTTTAGTAAGATTGGATTATGGTTGCCAATGTTGGTTGGTTCAGTTGAGTGATGTGGATGGTACATGTTGCGAACATACTTATGTGAGCGATGTTTTCAGTAGTTCTGTATACGATCCAGTCGGTGCTGGTTCTGCTCTTTCGGTCTGGCTGTCGGTATCGTTTGCACGCCACCAATATTTGTGGAGATCCACTCACGCACTCGGTGATGGGTGCATACGCCATTATTGCCGCATACGGTGGGCATGGAGTTATTTACTTATATTTCTTTCTGCACTTGTATTTGTTAGGCTGGTCATAGTGGGGAGTAACTTAACTTAGACTAATAACATGCATATGTTACTAATCTATATTACTACCTCTATAATGCATAGTATCATAGATGGTTTCATTTATTGTCATGCATGACGCATAGTAGTATCACATTTATTATGTTACGGTATCTATCTATGTTACTATAATCATCTCTTTCTTCTTTAATTGCCTGCCACATAAGCATGTTTGCGAGTCCCAAATGCGTGATACTACTTATGTTACCCCCACTATGGCCAGCCTTGGCCTTTTTTGGATGTGAGGGTAGATATTTCCAGGCAAAAGGCGCCCGGGGTGAAATATGCTCTCTGCAAAATAGAAACTCCATGGGAAATTCACTTAGCCCTTTCATTTCCGAAATCACATAGAGCGTGTTTGGTTGCCCGCACAAGGTCCAATCAGGCCCGCGTGGGAAGGATTCGGCTTGTTTGGTAGCCCGCATACACTATTGGGCTTGCATTGCATGATTCTTAAAGCACCAGGCCCAAGCGGTGCATGTGGGAGGGCGAGGTTGCACGCGCGCGACCATGCTCGAGAAGCCGCGTTGCTTTCCGAAGCGCCGGTAGTTATTAGCCTCACCGCCCCTCACCGCTCCCTCTCCCCACTCTTCCTCACTCTCCCAACTCTCACCGGCGGCGGTGGATCGGAGCAGAGGAAGAAGACCATCGGACTTCATCACCGATGGCGGCGGATCGGAGCAGAGGAATAAGACCATCGAACTCCATCAATGGCGATAAGCACTTCTCTCTCTTCAACATGCATGCTTGATTTGATCCACGACGATAGATTCTATCCACGGCGGACGGGAATGGGGAATAGAGGTAGATAAGCATAGGGGTAATTCATACTAGTTCATAGCAGTTCATATGAGTTCATACATGCAAGATTGGAATGCAGAAGATGGATTGCGGGATTGGGGGATTGGGGAATAAGGGGATAGGGGGTACGCAACGAACACCGGCTGATGGCGGCAGCCGTCACCGGCGTGCAGAGCGGCTGGTTGAGCCGCTGGCCTTCATCTTCTTCATCGCCATGCGGGTCGGCGGGTCGTCCTCGTCGTCCTCGGTGGAGTCGAGGTCGATCTGCCAGGTAGGACGGCCTAGCTCTGACGCCCTAGCTGGCATGTGCACCACTTCTTCCTCCTCCATAGGCTCCTCGCCGATGACCGCCGGCGGCGCGATAGCCGTCGTCCAGTACACTGCGGCACGCCGGTCATTAGGAGCCCAGTAGATCTTGTACTTGCACCACTTCTTCCTCTGTTTAGCGTTGTCGAAGACGACCTGATTCATGGCCCAGCGAATGATGTCAACTGCCATCGCGCCCTTTGCTGGGTCAGGAATCAGCGTCTTCAACTCTTCTTTAGTGGGCTTCATGAGCACTGCATTAGATTCGTTGTGCATGTCCGGCATGGAGCCGAAGTTCGAGCACACCTCCATGGTGTTCTCAAACTTGGTGCGGTCACCAGCCGACCACCGAGGAAGAAGGCCCTCCAGCCAATACCCCAAGGGAAGGGGTTGGCGTTGAAGCTGGAGCTAGAGCTCATGGCGATGGGAAGGAGGAAGGTTGACAGTGACAAAAGAGAGGGGGTGGGTAAGTAGTGGTGGGCAGGGTGAGTAAATATAGGGGGATAGAGAGGAGGAGAAGAGTGACAGTTATGCCGTTTTAACTACAAGCTCTTCAATTAGCAATGAACTCTGTGTAGTGCGTGACTCCATGAATTGTGTGCAGATCGAGGAGAGCAATGAGATGGGCATGGAGGTCCTCCCGGCCGTTGACAACAAGGGCAAGTAGCCCAAGTAGCCCCTTCACCCAATGCCCGACGAGGTTGAGCTGCCGTCCACCGTCGAGGAAGACCCGAAGACGCCTAAGGGTGGCGACGATGAGGGCATGGAGGAGCCCCCCAGCAACAAAGCGCCGCAACTACGGCCACTACCATCAGGAGAATGGCCCTTGCACCGAAGCTTGAGTGCATCCCCATGCCCCTGGACTTCACCAAGCACTTCGTCGCGGTGCCGACGGAGTTCAAGCTCAGGAACAACACCGGCTGCTCCTGGAAGGTGATGGTCAAGCTGATGAACGGCAGGGTGACCGTGGATCAGGGTTAGGCCACCTACGCAGTTGTTCATCAGATCAAGATTGGCTACATGGTGACGTTCAAGCTCCTCACTCCCGACACCCTCAAGGTCATCATCTTCGACGACGATGGCATTGAGATCGTCAACAAGTGCGGGAAGCACGACGAAGCCTTCGCCGGCAAAGGGTAGGGCCAGGCCACCTCTTTCGAGCGTACTACCGAGTCTGCTTTGAACATGTTTATGATTTATGCGTTGAACTGTTATGAAGTGTGGTACTACTTATATTTGAATTATGCTAGTTTATACTCTGTTTATATTGTGTTGTGCTTATGATCTGTGCTGCCAAAGTGTGGTGGTAACCTCACCAACTAGCCAAAGAGATTACCACACACCAGGTGTTGCATACAACCAAACACCATGCCTTGGGTTTGTCCACTAACATGCAGGCAACCAAACACCAGGCAGTGTGGTTCTACCCACGCAGGCAAGAGGCCATGCAGGCAACCAAACAACATGCAAATGGTGCATTTGAGGCTGCATTTGCATAGCCAGGTTGGGTGGAGAAGTGTATGCAATGCGGGTACCGTAGCGCACGGCAACCAAACACGCCCATAGCAGATCTGGAGCTCGTCTTTGGACAGAGAAGGGGAGGGGGAGGGGGGAGAGAGTGTGGCGCGTCGCGAGCAGGACGGGGAGATTCTTCCTTGGCAACAAATGGGAGTTCAGAAAAACCAGGGCCAAATCTACTCGTGTTATTCCCACCCAGGGAAACGACGGGGATCCCGGGAGGATCCCTCGCAACCAAACGAGGCCTTAGTGTCACTTCCATAACACTAGGGACATAACACTAGGGAATATTTATAGTAGCCAGTCTGTGATTTACTACGGTACGTAAATAGGAGTATTCTACTATAACATCGATTATACAACACTCATACGACAACATGCACGCACAACGCTTACTTAAGACCGGGTCGAAGTTGCAGAGCTTTGTGAATGACAAAGTCATCGCTGAACTGTCAACGAAAATGCCACCATTCTTTGAAAGAATAATTCATGTTAATGTGACATCAAAATGTCAAACCTAATTTGAACTGTACCACTGCCCTCTAACAATGTGATTGTATAGAAAATGTTTTATTTGTTAAGTATAAAAGCAATTCTAGCAGATACTTCCTCCATCCAAAAAACTTGTCATCAAAATAGATAAAAAGAGATGTATCTAGAACTAAAATACACATCCCCTTTTATCCATTTTAATGACAAGTATTTTCGGACGGAGGTATCATTCCATCATACGAAGTTAGTGGTTCAAAAATGGCTCTAACAGAATCGCCATATATATTGCCTTCTGCCTACATAATTTTTAGAGCGTGCTTCAGTAGTGGGTCATAGCCTCCACATTTGGGGGCGGTGATATGTAGCGCACTATGTCGGAGTAAATGACCACGGGTAGCCCTATCCGTTCCCCTTAACATTTCAAGACATCGGGGCCGACTGTGCCCCTCAAGCATCAAAATCAAAAGCCCGCCTCCTTATGGCCGGCTGATACAAGCGGCCGGCTGCAGGAAGGCGG